TTGAGACTTGTGAAAGGATGGGTCTTTATTTTTGCTACTGTGTTCCTAAGACTTGTATAGCTTTGCACACAATTTCACCCAATTCATACATATGTATGAGTGACTTTCCCAATACCATGTATTTTTAATCTTATCTTCATGGATGTGTATGCTTTTGCACAAAGATTTCCCATATATACTTTTGTAGATGTTTGGGTGCTCATTATTGCAAATTTCATTAGCATTTTTATGTGTTCCGCCTTAAGAGGGAAGAACACACAAACACTTGGCCCACTTCTGATCTTTTGGATCAGAAATCCATTTCCTCTGAGAGTTCTCCTGCCAGATTCAGAGAAGTGGACATTTTGAATGATAACTGAGTTTTGTTTCAGGTATTAGTTCAACCCATGTGAAACAGACGAGACAAAATATAGACGAGACAAATGTCTTTTCCATCCATAACAGCAACCTGAAGCCTGGAGCAGTCTTTGCTTCAATTTTGGCATTTGGACAAAGCCCATTCCACAAAACTGGCACTGGACCCAACATTTTCGCCATCAAAACCTTTCAATTATTCCTTTGTCCTCTCATAAATATGACCATCTGTGACAAGGTGTGGTGTGATGTAGTGGTTAAGCGCATGGGACTGGGACTTAGAAGATCTCGGTTCTAGTCCCCGCTCGGCCATGGAGCAACTTGGTGACTTTGGGCCAGTCACAGACCCTCAGCCCAACCTGCCTCACAGGGGTGTTGTTGTGGGGATGAGATGGAGGAGGAGGAGGATGTAAGCTGCCTTGAGCCCTTTGAAGGAAAAAGGCAGGGAGTCCTTCCTTCTCATTAGGTGGCCAAGCAAAATCCATGAAGACAGTGTGGTGTAGTGGTTAAGAGCATGGGACTGGGACTCAGAGGATCTGGGTTCTAGTCCCCACTCAGCCATGGTGCCAACTGGGTGACTTTGGACCAGTCACAGACTCTCAGCCCAACCTACCTCACAGGGTTGTTGTTGTGGGGATAAGATGGGGAAGGAGAATGATGTAAGCTGCCTTGAGCCCTTTGTAGGAAAAAGGCAGGATATAAATCGCTGAATGAATGAATGAATGAATGAATGAATGAATGATGAAGGAAGTGCTGCACGGTGTGGAGAAAGCAGACAGAGAAGCATTTTTCCCCCCAGATTCGTCAGGTCATTCTATGAAGGTGAAAAATAGGAAATTCAGGAGAGATAAATGGAAGAATGTCTTCCATTTCATCCTCCATGAAGTTCAGCGGTGAAACTCACTGCCTCAGGATGCGGTGGCAGCCACTGACCCAGTCGGCTTGAAAGGGAGATTATGAAGGAGGTGGCTATCAGTGATGGATTTATACAACTCCCAGAGATAGTGTACTTTTGTATACCAGTGTCTGCAGAATGATTGAAGAAAAGAACTAATATCCTCCTGCCATGCTTGCGGATTTCCTAGAGGCATCCATTTGGTCCCTGTGGAAAAGAAAGTGTTGGCTTGGAAACTTTTCAAGCCCAGGTCTTGCACAGTGGTTGGACAAGGAGGGGAGGTGGCCCAGAGTCTGCTCAGTCAACTGGCTGCCAGTTCCTCATCCCTTCCCTATAGTGACATTTTCTGAGCCTGAATGAATACGAACCAGTTCTTTTGCCCATCGTGTACTTATTCTCCAGCCTCAAGATGTAATCTCACATTGATTTGAGGCCAGCTACATGATACAAGTTATTAATAAGGCCCAGCGTGTCTTGAGAAAGTTCTTCTTGAGAGGTGGAGACCCCCTCCCAGTTTCTTGGCAAGTGATAATCTCTGAGCCTCAGTGGTGTGTCTCTGTGAAATGAGTTTGGAACAGAAAAGAGTATTTCTTGTTTGTTTTGCTTCTTGAGGTTTTGTATGCTGGTGCTCAGAAATCCCCTCTACCTTGTTCTTAGGTTCTTGGGCAAGTTGCTTTTCTTCTCTTCTAGCCTAACCAGTTTGCCTTTGGAGAAAAGTGCATTTTATTACAGTTCATGGATGGGCAAGTGGCCTTCTTGTGTGAGAGCCTACCAAAGTCTCTCAAAATTCCAAATGTATTTGTCCACCAACTCAAAAAGTTGGGACTCCTTGCGAACAAGCTGACTTCCTCTCATCTTCTCAGATGCTGCTCAAAGGAGGAAATGGCACATTTAACTTGCCAGTTCCCTATTAAATCCAGTCTTGGATAACTCTGGTTCATTTAAATGGTTAGCACCTACCCATCCACAAAGTCCCTGGGCACCATGACCAATATCTGATCCCTTCCCCTGAGTGCAAACTCCAAGCTTGGCTCAGAGGCCAGCAATGAGAGACAGGGACTTCTCAGTGGCAGCCCTTCCCACGACTGCAGACTCTTTCCCCACTGAGGACTACTGGACAGCCATTCTTTATCCTTTGTGTGCCAGATTACAAAAGCCCTCTGCACCAAGACGCCTAACGATATTTAGGGGTCATCTAATGGCTTAATGGGATACCTATGGGGTGCTTTTAACAGATCTGTTCTGTATTGCACAATATGTTGCTGCTAAATTGTTTTAAAACTTTGATTTTTAAATTGTGTATTATAGTCCTATTTTGGAACTGTTGGAAAGCACCCAGAGATAGAGGGAGAGAGAGAGATGAGCCAAGATCATAGATCACAGTTGGATCCTGACACGCTTGAATCAACCATAGATCAGGCCAACCAAGGCCTTTTGAATATGAATGGAACAGACTTATTTTAAAAGCAGAAGCAAATGCCTGCTATATTCTCCTCCAAACCCCTCCAGAAGTAGAGAAGAAAGTGGAGTGCATGAAACTGAAACATGCTCATCTGATAAAGCCAAAAGATAGATAGTTCAGTAAGTGAGGAGAGTTATCCCCAGATACACTTTTTCCCTCATGCACTTAGCTGCTCTTTGAGCCCTTTGCTCTCCTAGGCGCCTGGGGAATAACAACTGCGCATGGAGTAATCTGTTACTGGCAAGTGGCAAAGCTTGCTGTCAGAGAGGCAGAGTAGCAAGCTGTCGGGGTGATGAGACACTGTGATCACAGCTGCGTTTCTCATGGCATCGGGCGAGATGATAAATTCCTCTGTGTCAAGACAAAACGCTAGTTTTGTTTCTTCTCTTTCACACACCAGACTATTTAACTCCGGGAGCTGCATGACAGGAACAGGAGCTTGTCCTTCCTCTTTGTTCAGCAAATTCTTTGTGAAATGAGTGCAAGGGTAAGCAGTGCAGCCTAGGGAATGCAGTGCTTGGGAGAGCTTGGGATTCCAGTCCACACTCCGCCGTGAAACGCACCGAGTGAATCTGAGCCATTGCCTTCCTCACTGGGCTGTTAGGATAAAATGGAGAAGAGGAGGAGTGTATAAGCCATCGTAGCTTCCCTGCAGGAGAAGAGGGGTGCCAATACAAATGTCATGAAAATTATGCTCATACCTGGCTGCGAGCAGGTCCTTCCTCAAAGCTAGCCATTGTCCCTTTGGTGGAGGCTTTCGCCTTGATAATGAGGCATGGGACACTCGGTCGTCGCTGCGACAGCAAGATCTTTTGCTGCTTGGGAGATTGTCGCTGGTGTGTACGTGCGTTCGTGCACAGAAAAGTTGTGTGTGAGTACCCATGTACCTGATTTTGTGTGCATGCACGCACACACACATTTGCATGTGAGCTGCATACACACACATGAGGCCTCTCCACCTCAGTGACTGTTGGGACCCGCAGGGCAGTGAACTGAGATCTGTATCTCCTTCATATTATACAGACAGTGCAATATAAGTAATAGAATCTCTGGGATTTATAGCCATTGTCATGTTCAATATTATATAAAGCAGTCCTCAGAGTAGAGGCATGGATCACAATTCCAAAACATGTGCTAGAACTATATGCAACTCACCATGTTTCCAGCTTGTATGACTTGTAAAATATAAATATATTTTTACAGAAATATAAACGGTACATCTATACTCAATTTTCTTATGTCCTTTGAATAAGGTTTCCTCTTTCATCCTGAGAGGGTACCTACGGCTTGATCTAATGCCTAGCAAGAAACATTTAGCATGATATGGGAAGAACCCCATGGCCTCTGGACATTGGCTCAGGGTCCATAAACACTTGGGATGCCTGGCTGACCGGGAGCCCCGGTCTCCCTGCCCTTCCTCCTGGGAGCTGGCATAGAAAGAGCCATGCTGGCTGTTTCTGAGGCTGGGAAAGGGCCCTTGGGAAGGGAACACTGAAGGGCGCAGGTTGGAGAGGGAACTGGGGTGCCCAGGAGATGCGCTGTCTTGAAGCCTCATTCCCCCCCCTCCAAGCGGCCCTGCCTCGAAGGCTGAAAATGGCCATCCATGCAAATACAAAATCGGGGGATGAGCGTTGCTGCTCTTCATTGAATCCCCTTCAAGGGCCTCTGTGCATCCCCACAGGCTTATGTGCTTCCCCTTCTGAATAGATTCTCCTTTTGCTTCCTAAGTGTGTTGTGTGTCTGTGTAAAAGTTAGGCTAAGGCGTGTTCCCCTACGGCAGAAAGACCCCGACAAAGATGCAAACTTTCTTGAGGTATCCAAGAAGACAAGCCTCCTTTTGAGGTGTATTGTTCCCCAAGATTACCTGAGCACAGCACGGCAGGGTCCTCCAATCCAACCTCAGTTTGAACACAGGTCATGCATGGCCCTCATCATGGCTGGAGCTGCCAGCTTCTGGTTTTCCTATGTTCATGGAAAAGAAAAGGGAAGACTCAAGTTCCTTCCATCACAAGTGGATTTTGGCTTTTTTCATTTTAAAATGTGTTTTTTTATGTTAAAATCTTTTAATTGTCTTGCATTTTAAATTTTCAATGTTTTTCATTTATGGATTTTGCTGTATTTGATTAAAATGAACTGAACTGAGATGCTGGGCGAGGGAGGGAAGGAGGGATGGAGGGAGGGAGGGAGGACAACTCTAAAGTAGAACATGGGGATGTTTCATCTACTCTCCCTAAAGAGCACGGCCAGCTCTGTAATGATGTTCTTTCCCCTCAAATTTTCTTTCTCCAGGTATTACTTGGTGCATGCAAGTCTGAAAGTTCCATCCAGGATCCCACATAGACTGTTGACAACAATCGTGGAACAAGCAGGTAAGAAAAGGTCTCATATTTGTACAAAAAGTCCTTTCGAGAGATATAGATGGTCCCTTCCTTGCTGCAGGAAGGAATAATTCATAACAGTTAACAAGCATTTGTAACTCATAAGCATTAATAAGAAATAAGCATTCATACTAAGCACATCAAGCTGTCTTTCAGTGCATGGGCTATCTGGTTTTAACTGCTGGTGTTTTAAGGTCAGAATGTTTAAATATTTTTACTTTTACAGTGTGCTTGAACTGATTTTTAAACTATCCTTATGTTATTGCATTGATGTAAGTGCCATGGGAAGGTGCTTGTGATAATTCCATGGTGGATGTGGAATTTTGGGAGAGGCACGACATTTTTCTGTTTAAACTTGCATTGGATTATTTCCTAAATAAAATCTAAATATGCAGGTGTATTTTGAAATGTATTTTTATAGTTGTGGACTTTGGGTGATCACTAATAAGCCATGCATGCTTTGAGCTTTAACCAAAACTGTCTACATCTTTTTAAATTAAGTAAATTTGTTTTAGGTGCCCAATGAACTCTCAGTCCTAAAATGATGTTTGATTCTGAAATTACTCCTTTCATGAAAAAAAGAAAAAGCATTTCATTGGTATTATATCCCAAATCTGTACTGTATCACATGGTATGTTACACACAGTATTTCTATACTGTAACTCACTATATGTTACGCACAGTATTTCTATGTTCTGTCTGAAAGCAAACTGGCAACCAGTTGATCAATAAATAATACCTAGGTGAAATATGTGGCTGAAAATATAGACTAGTGCTCTTGAAGTGGTCCAACCACAAGAAAATTAGAGCTGCACACATGTGGCCCCTTAAAATTCTGCACTCTTTTAGTGGTCAGCAAAATTGGAGGTGGGTGGTATCACCAAATTTCTCCATGGTGGGTATAAATTTTCCAACACTTTATCTGGGATAGCTCAACATGTCCATAGCTGCCTGAAACTGATGTATTTTTCTCTTCCCCCTCCCCTTCCCCCTCCCCTCCCCCCCTGCTAAGAATTTTGCTTATTTTTCGGAGATACTTTGCACCACTAGAAGTAGCAAGACCAGCAATTGTGTTTGTGTTGGCAGCCATTTTGCATTTGCCATAGCATGTATGTGCAGGGTACTCAGGGTATGGCGGACACCACAAAAAGGGGTGGAGAACATTAGCAGATGGTCCTTCAAAATGGATTACTTTTTCTAGTGGGGAAGGCAAGAAAAATAAACATTGCTCTTGCTCTATAGAAAATGTCTTCTGGCAATTTTTGGCTCAGCTGTATAAAAAATGGAAGTTGTGACACAAAGAATCTTGTAAAAATTGTCCATCTTATTTTGAGAAGTTGCTGGGAACAGAATGGATAGAATGAAAATAGCTTAGGCTATTTTCACTTTCCCATTAATTTTAGCAGAGATGAATCAGACCCCTGATATCTTAGTAAGTTAAATGCACATTTAAAAAATAGCTTTCAGAAAGGACAATGGAATGAAGATAAGCCTATGGAGTCTGGAGTGGCTCTGGTCTGCTAAAAGGGGTTTAACAGAAATTTTAAATATCTACCGGTGTCCTCAGCAACATATTAGCACAGGAAGATTAAATCTGTAGACTTTGAAGCATCTGTTGAACCAAGTAAGTATAAGATTGGTGAGGATATATATACACACACACACTTCTGAAAGCAAAGCAATTCTCTCATTCCTCCTTAAAATGTTTTTTCGGGTTATCAAGAACCCCTCCTTGTTCTTTTCCATTTGTATCAGATATGAGCAACTTGTGGTCCTCCAGAAGTTTTAGCTGATAACTCACATCTGGCCTTAGTAGAGGAGGGAGCCTAGGAGCAGTGAACCCAAACATCTGGAGATTCACAAGATGCCTAAACCTGATTTATATCCAAACCATCACCAGATCCAATTTTATATTTCCGACAACAGCTACCCAAATGTCCCTGGCTTGGAATGTGTTGATCCATCAAACACATCTCACCACACTTCCAATTTCTCCACCACTGTCCTTCTTCCATCCAAACTTGTTATTCCTGCACAAGGACTTGTACAGATTTGTGATCACATGTTTCAAAATTTGCCCATTGATTTACGCATTTTCCCAATAAGTGCACTTTTGTGTTGTCCCCATCGACTAAAGTGTGTGCCTACTTTAGAAATGAATGCCTATTCCTCTGCTCATTTTTCAAATGCATGAACCTTTTTTGTTCATTTCAAGGAATGAATTGCAAGTCAGGAAAAAGTTCAGGCTGCAAATTGGTTTGGGGTTTGGCAGCTGAGATTCAAGGGATCTTGCACGAGATCCCAACACATTTCTCTCCATCCCTGTTCCTTCCATCCTGAGAATAGAACACAAAGCAGGTTTTCTATCCATATTCACTGTGAGCTCCTGGACCACAGAGCTGGGCTGACCTCAAGGGCCCAATTATACATGATCTTGTATCCATATCTTGCAGCAACCATCTTTTTCAACTTTAGAGCAAGTATAGGAAGCCAGATCCTGACCTTTATATGGGGTGAGAGGCAAAAGGCTTGTGAGATCTGGACTGTGCCCTTGCTTATGGCAACAACAACAATTAAAACCAGCTACTAGGTGTATGTGCCAGGCCCGAACAATGGCTAAACCACCATTCATAGGCAATCCTTCAAAAAAAGCAATTTGTGCTTGCATTTATCACAGCCTCCTGTGTCAGTAAAATGTGTTTGCTAATTCTTCATGGCATGAAGTGATGCTTCCTTTTGTTTATCCTGAATCCAATGCCAAGCATCTCCTCTGCACACTCATGCGTTCTAGCATTAATATCTTCTGAAGACGAGGTGGATTTCTGGTGATACTTGGCATATGGTTCAGCTGCTTGCAGCGTTATGTTAGCACAGTGCCAAAATGTCCCCTTGTGTTGCTTTTCTCCACTCCCATTTGATCTGATAGAAAACACATCCCAAGATTGTGTTTCCCATTGGGATTTTTCAGGATGGGCTGCCCAGGGGGTTACAGAGCAACACGAAGCTGCATAACATACTTGTGATGGTTTTACATGCTCCAAAACATCCGCAAAATAAATTCAAAATTAATAATGATATGTCCTGAGAATGAGACAGAAGAATGGAAGCTCCTTTTCTTTCTGTCTTTTTTATGGGGGGTGGGGATTTGAGGACATTACAGGACAGATTTTGGCTCCACCCTTTCCACAGGGCTCGATACATCACCACCTGTCTCACAGCTTCATTTTAGGGGATGCAAAATGCAGGCCGGGCTGCTGGTACCATGGATAGCAATGCCACTTGCAGTGGCAACACAAAACAGAACAGCTACTACTAGGAGAAAGGCACCACACAACCACCACTGATGGAGAACCTACCTGTGAGGAACTCTTGGAGAATTTCTCCTCCCCACTGTAGAATTTGAGTGAAATGGTCCCTGTCCCTCTCCTTTCTCTGCCCACAGACGGTGGAGGGAACTTGGAGAGGCCTCTCGTAAGCATCTCCATTTTTCCCATGGATACCACTTTTAATCAGAGGTAGAATTCCTCTCAGTACCAGTGAGAAGGTGCTCCTGGCCTGCTTCTGGCTTCCCATGGCATCTTGCTGGCCACTGCAGCAATAGAATGCTGGACTAGATAGGCCTTTGGCTTGATCCATCAGGTTTCTTCTTATGTCCATTTTTGCTTGCTTGCTTGCTTTCTTAGTCGCAAAGTGGTGCCTGACCCATCACAGCATCCCTCCAGGCTCTCCTGTCCTCCACCATCCCCTAGAGCCCTCTAAGCTCACACCCTCTGCCCCAGTGACTCCATCTAGCCACCTCATCGTCTGCCGCCCCCTCCTTCTTTTGCCCTCAATTGTTCCCAGCATTAGGCTCTTCTCCAGGGAGTCCTTCCTTCTCATTAGGTGGCCAAAGTCTTTGAGCTTCATCTTCAGTATCTGGCCTCCTAAATAGCAGTCAGGGTTGACTTCCTTTAAGATAGACTAGTTTGATCTTTTTTCAGTCCAAGGGACTCTCATGAGTCTTCTGCAGCACCAGAATGTAAAGGCCTCAATTCTTACATTCTTATGAGCATTCAAATAGCTTTAATTGCTTGAGATTTGGAAATATTGCTGTTTTCTGAAACACATTTCACTTGCAGCATCAGCCTCAAAGACTTTCACTGTTTGAAGCATGTAGTGGAGATGAACACTATGGGACTGGGACCTGTAGCACATATCACGAGGGGCTTCCAAAAATGCCACAATGTTGCCAGAATATCAGGAGGAGTGGCAGCAGCTCAGGAACCTTCCTTTCAGCAGATCTTCCAAGACCTTGAAGCTGGCATGAGTAGAAATGCTGGTTCATGCTCCAGTCCATTCTCATTTCCTGCTTATCTCAGCTCTCCAGTTGTTTCAGAAAGCCTTTATCCATGTTTTCCGTTCCATCAATCTCCTTGCATTCTCTTTCCCATGGCTCCTTCTTTTTTGTTTTTCATCCATGGGCTTCACAACATTAAAAAAAAAAAGTTTTTAAAGTTCTCTGCTTCTCCAGTTTTGATTGCATGTCTCTTTCCATTTCCCTTCAGTCCTTCATTTTGCAAACCTGAAGTTTGTGTAGCTTAGTGGATATCCTGGCATCACATATTCTAAGTGGCTCTCGCTTGAAATGCAATTTCGCATCTCCTTGTATCCCATACCACTATTTTTATGGATTACAAAATCCTCTGCCCACAGACCACTTCTTCTGCATAAGAAAGAAGTCCTCAGCTTGGGATGGACAAACCATTGAGTGTGGCTACTCCGTCTCCCTGTTTTCAAAAATTGAGGTCATTCCATTCCAATATCCCATCAGTATAAATTATGGAAAAATCTGTAATGGATTGAAAGGCGTTATATCTGTATGACTCTAATAAGTTTTTACTGATTCTGCAGACTTCTAGATCATTTTTTTAAACTTTCCAAAAGTACATGCAAATGTACACATGAAAAATATGATCTTTTTTAAAAAAATAACCAAATATTTCTTTCCTTCA